TCGCCATGTTTTGAAGATGAAGCCGAGTGTCTTAACAACAAACAACGAAGAAAGTTTGAGGCCCTGAAAGTTGTTGAGGAGACGAAACGAACGTCAGAAACGCTACAAGAGATGACCACTAGGCGATGCAGCATTGCTCAGCAATTGAAGAAGTTGCCAATAGTCGGTTGCCAAAAGAGAATCGCAGTACAAAGTTTTCCACGGAATCCTTGGTGCGTATTTCGATTAATAGATGCTGATAATGGCTTAAATTAGTGTGGGGAAACTTAAATAAGTAATGGCGCGCACCAGAGTAGCCGATACGATCATGCGTTTTGTGCGATTCTGTCCAAAAGGATCTTGCTGATAAAAGTTTCCACTGCTTTTGTAGTTCCTGAATTGCTAATTTTGTCGCCAAAACTTCCGTGTTCCTGCACACGAGACCAAGGCGTGTGGGACTAATTTATACATGGGCAGGAAGCATTATTTTGAAATTTCAACCTCCTAGCTTTTCTTATTTCCAATTTAATAATTTTCGCACCAAAAATTTCATTCGTCCGTACTTGGCATCTGGGCATTCACAGAAATAAATTTACACGTGGGCAGGAGCGTTATCCCAAAATTTCAGCTGCCTAGCTTTTGTTGTTCTTAACCATTAATTTTGACGCCGAAATCTTGGCGTATCCATACCTAAGAGTTGGTGTGCACTAGGCCTGCATTTATATAAAGGCAGGAGCGTTATTCTGAAATTTTAACTTCCTAGCTCTTCTGCTTCCCAGTTATTGACTTTAGCAACGAAAATTTCACGTGCGCTCACGTAAGATCTAGGCATGCAGGGAGAATGAGTTTGGGTTTGCGGAGTTATACGTGGGCAGGGAACATTCTTCTAAAATTTCAGCCCCTAGCGTTTTTGGTTCCCGATTTAATAATTTTCGCGCCAGAATTTTCACGTGTCCGTGCAAAATTCCTACTCGCACGTGAAGACTGAATTTTTTTAGAAATTACACGCGGGCAATGAAACTTTCTTAAAATTTTAGTCTTCTAGCTTTTCTGCTTCCCAAGTTATTAATCTGGGCGCCAAAGCTTTTAATTGATTGTACGTGAAACTAGGGATCCGCGGGCGCTGAATTTGAATTTGCGAGGTCACACCGCACGTAGTCTCTCCTCCTCTTCCTAAAATTCCAGCTTCCTAGATTCTCCGCTTCCCGAGTTGAAACTCCCGAATAAAACGCATTCGGAACACACACTTAAACACATAGAGGGTCTCGACAATATGGGTTTTGTGCAACTGTTGCACCACAAAACGTATAATTAGCTTCAAACTATTTTTTGCACATAAATATTAAAATCCAAAAGGAACCGCTGGGGCCTGTGAAGTGCAAAAACTGGAGGACCACCTGCCCATTCGTTTTACTTCCTGGCATTTCTAGGGAGCGTTAAGTGCAGAGGAAGATCGGAGTAGCACAGTGCATTTGTTGAACTACCAGCAGTAAAGATGACTTATGTTATTCACTTCTCTCACTAGAACTTGATTCCTCGCTTTCCCTCCCCTTCGTTTCTTCCAGAAAACCAGTTTCTTGATGTTTTAGGTTGGGGGTCATCATCGCAGTGCATTTCTTTTTCCATCTCTTTGTTTGGAATTCATGCTTTCTTTAACAGGCGGAAGTTCACCGTGTGGTTTCTGGACAGTGTTGTAAAATACTGACAACGAATGGCCACTAGGCAGGACTCGCTTCCTTCAAATAACCAAATGGAAAAATTTATCGTTTTTTGCAAAAAATTTATCGTTTTTTGCAAAATTTATCGTTTTTTTTTTTTTTTTTTTTTTTTGCGCAAATATATATGTTGTACATATGTATGTACGTGTGTATTCATCTATGTATGTATGTGTGTATGTATATATGTATGTATGCATGTACATATGTATGTATGTATGTATGTATGTATGTATGTATGTATGTATGTATGTATGTATGTATGTATGTATATGTATGTATGTATGTATGTATGTATGTATGTATGTATGTATGTATGTATGTATGTATGTTTGTTATGTATGTATGTATGTATGTATGCATGTATGTATGTATGTATATGTATGAGTATGTGTGTTAATTTCAGAATTACAAAGCCTAGGAAGCTAATTTCGAGAAATTATCATCCATAATTATGCAAAGGTTTACAAATATAGGATCAACTTTCAGATCGTTACTTAACCCTTGACCTTGGCAACAAATTCAGGTCAGAATTTCAAGTGAAAATCGTAGCACAGGCCGCACGGCAACTATCGTGCAAGCGGCTTTCGAATTCCTCGATTTTTAGACTCTGACCTTGTGCCCAGATTGCATCGATATTTTTAATCGAAAGCGGTCAAGGCTTCTACAGTCACTCGTAAGATGAAAGATTACTTGTGTAACACACCTGCCTTCTTCAAATGTCACTTCATTCATCCTTCACCACACTGTATAATCCTCGAAAGGATATTTGCAAAACTCTACCAGATCTCCTGTACATTTTACTATTAAACTGTATACATATTTTGTTCGTTTTTTTTTTCTTTTTTTCTGATCAAACTTCACTTAAAATTTAATTCTTACCACAAATTTGATATTTATTTTGCAGCAATTTCTTTTCATCACTACTCATGAAAAATCTTGACAGGGCTGCTCCCCTCACTCCTCCTGAACAAACAGTAGCGTGTGCCATGAATTATAGCTCTACCGGTGAGGAACAAATCTGTATAAATACCCCAAATGAAAATTTGTCCCTTCATTTATCTGGTATCACAACTGGAAGCTTGATGAAGTTAAAAAGATGGTTTAGGGCCGCTTGCAACGATTGCGCGGTTAGGAACTATTTTTTCCAATTTTTTAGCTTTCAACCGCTTTAAGTGTCTTTGTCATTTTTATCTATTCAGGAAGATGGAAATGCATTACACACACACACACACGCGCACACACACACACGTACACACATACATACACACAAACATACACACAAACATACGCATACAAACATACAAAGACACGCACAAATACACATACACATACATATGTATAAATACAAAGGAGACGTATAAAAATGACAAAGGCACTTATCTATCATCTGTAACCAGCGAGTAGCTGCGTTTTTATCAACAACAAAAACCGGCAAGTTTGGAAACTTGCTGATTCGCTTTTGCGATAATTGATCGGGTGGGAGAATTAATGTGTTTCCTGCATGCACGGGCACACTATTATCAATTTACCACCAAAACGAATTTTCCAGGCACTTCTTTCCCGAGCACAACTTTTTTTTTTGTCCACTAAAAATGTTTGCAAAAATGTGCGAGTGTCAGCTTAAATTTTTTTTTTTGGAAAAAATGTGTAAGTGTCAGCTGAAAATGCGCTCGATCGCCAACTGATCAGCAACAAACGTTCATAAAGTGATGTGTTTTTTATCCAGGAAAGCACACACACACACACACACACACACACACACACAC